TGAAATCATGTGTGTTATTGTAAGTTAATATTTTGAAACTGTGATGTTTATTTTCAATATTTTGTTTTACGTTTTATTACCATCCAAACTAATTAATAACTTGGAAATATATTCCTAGATTATGAGTTGATACAAATTAGGAATTTTCTGTACCAAGTTATATTTCTTATGATGATTCATAAAATGTTCTACAGTCTATTACAATAATTTCAATCACCTACTTGATTCAACTAAAAATTGCCTGATTTATTTCCATGATTAGCTTTCAAAGTCAATGTAAGTTTCTGATATTTAAGGTGATGGTAATTATCCAATGATTGTTTTAATCATCTCAATACGCTTTTTTTATAATAAAGTTGTTAACTAATGTTGTTCTAATCTTTCAATGATATTCTCAGTAAGAATAGTTAACTAGAAGTGGATAGATATCAAATTTATATTCTATTAAGTAAGTATAGTCAATAGTTGAAATATTTTTACTGTTAATAAGGAACAGCAAAAATGAACTATTTCATACCATTGATAATAATGGTATCGAAGTCATGGTAGTGCCTATTTAGTTTCTTTGAGATTTTTGTATATGTATTTAGTAGAGGAATAACAAAATATAGATCGATAAAGAACAAAACAGCATTTATAAAACCGTATATAACAACGGTTATAGAGTAAAATGTTTGAAAATTATAACAAGGAATGTGGTATTAAAAGTTGATCTGACATAAATAAATAAGAGAAGATTATCTTATCATTCTCTTAAAATAAAACATGATTCCTGATTTATTATAACTAAGCTGAGAGAGGACACAAAAAAACCATTTCTGTCATATGGGCATCAACTTTACCATTCCTTACATACTAGCATTGCAATTAAATAACAGGCTTTGAGCTCAATCTTTTCTGTCTATTTAAAAGTCTGCTGCTTCGACATAGACGAATAAATAGGCAGAATGACCCGCTAAACTTATCAAATGTAGTTACTCAATGTACTAAATAGATGCGATTTGATATATCTTTACAGTGCTTTTCCATAGAATTATTCTTTTATGGCAATTTTACATGAAGAATAAGTAAATTAAATTAAAGATCAAATAGAAAAATAATGACGATTTAATATGTGAAAGAGAGATGACATAATACAGGGATAAAAAGCTGTCTTTCCATCCCTGAGATTAAAATGGATTACACATTACCAGGCCAGATTCAGAGAGGTGAAAAGTTGTTTTTGTTCATCCGGAGCAAAGTTAACTTTAAGGAGATAGTTCGGGTAAGATCAAGTGACCAAAATTGTTAAGCCACTCAATAACGCGACTAATATTCCTTATAAATTGATTATCAGATAACCATGCAGGTAATGCTCGGAGATGCAATAAGAAAGAGTAGACTTTTTCAGGTCAATATGTACTGGAGGTTCTAAAAACGTAACTGCCTAAACTTCAAATGGCTTTTTGTAGCCAATAGCTTATTCGAGTAATGTCAGGTAAGGACTATCGAGTGCAGCCAAATTAATATATATCAACTAGTTAACTTGTTCTTGTGCAACGACTTTTAATGGCAAAACAAAGTACGCTCTTTCTATCCATCTACAAAACCTTAGGTATAGTATTTTGTCTCGTCCGTCACCTTATCGTGTATCTATTAGATAACATTAGTTAATGAATAAATACCGTATTTCACTTATCAGTATGATGGTTTTTACATAAAACAAGACCGAATTTTCAGTTTTTAAATTTTATATAATACTTATTTGTGTAAGTATCTGGTTTATAATGATTTTCATTTAAAACCCACGAATTGTCTATCTTACCTGACTGAGTCTTCAATCGTATGTATGTATATACTAGCCAAAAATGTAATTATGTCAAAAATTCCTTCTATTCGAAAATTTTCTTTCAATTTATTGAAATTAATCAATAAAACTGTCAAAGATTCGATAAAACAAATCGCTATTAATTACTGTGTAATAATATCACTATTATAAACCATTAGTTATTAGTATACAGTAAACATTATCTATCTTTACAGAAAAAACGTTTGCTAATGTATTACTTTTAATAAAAATAAAAGTATTTCTGTTGCTTAGATAAAACATTAATTCACTGTTCAGTTTCTTTCATTATATTATAAAAAATATGTCATCACTCACTTTTCTATCAGTTGTTTGAATCCTCCCACTGAAGTTTAGGACTGAAATCGATCAGTCTCTTATTTGACATATGTGCATTATACATTTATGATTGCCTCAATATTACCTTCAGTCACAAGCATTATAAGCAGAGATGAACGAAGGCTAGCGATAGAATCCGAGACGCGCGTTTCGTTCTATTTGAAACTCGTTAGTTGAATGTACCTGCATCCCAGAGACGATGTTCATTTCGTGACTTGAAGCCAGTAGCATTCACATTGATATTTAAGAAGATTCGAACAGCCAACACAAAAGTGAATTTAAACTTCACCCCATCTCACAAGCTAACTGCCATCAAGTCTCAGCAGTTAAGTGGATAACGTGATGGCGTTTGCAGAGAACGTTAATGAGCCCGAACCTCGGAGGGTACATTAACTTTGGGACGCAGATTCACAAATCTGACGAATCCCGAGTAGGATGAAACGCGTGTCCTGATTTCCACTGCTAGCCATTATCCATCTCTGCTTAAAATAGATCATCAGTTGTAGAGACTTTTATGTCTATAAGAATATTGAATACTTATTAGTAATACGTATATATATCAGATTGGCCGACAACAAACATTTTCGCTTAACAAATCTTAAGGTATCATCAGACTTGTGTTTCTAAATCATTCATTTTATCGATCAGTTTAAAATAATGAAGATGATTTGGTTAACTAAAAAAAATCCTATATTCATTATTATTGATACTAACCAGAAAATATATAAGTAGTCTCAATCATGTTAGATATATGATTACATCTTATTTGTAAACTGATTTCCTGTTTTAAAATAATATCAGAAAGCCACAAATATTCTGAGGTATCACAACACGTTTATTCGTTTTCAAAGCCTGATCACTTTTCATGAAACACTGACCTATTTATCAAAAAAACTAGCCATTTATTTGTTATTGAGGATGTTTTCTCACAGTAAACACTTTCACTTAATTAATGTATTACTTTTCTATAATAGATTAAAAGAAGCAAACTAAATACGATAAACGTGTGCAAGTTACAATGAGTTCATTCTATATCTGTGTGTGCGTTTTCTTTTTCATAGCACATTATCGAGTAAATTTCATTAGTTCCAAATGCTAACTTAATTAAATACAAAGAAATCAATTAATCAACAGGGAACAATAAATTATTTGACTAGTAAAATTCTGAAGAAATTTAAAGTAACAATGATTTTTTTTATTGAGACTTAAATGTAGCCAAATGTTGTAAGAGAAGACACGTTAACTACATTATTATAAACAATATTTATTGAAAAAACTTGATAAATTGAGATTAAAAACATTTTGAGTTAAATTCAAGTCTAACTATCATTAAATACTGATTAAAAATTATTGAGTCTTGAGTATTTATCTAAACTCCGCCTGGAGACCTTTTGAGGCTACTGCCGGTCTCAAGCCCGGGTAAAGGAGAAGGGTTGGGGACGGGGTTTGTCAACCCTATCCCGCAGAAAAATAACTCGCTAAAACGCTAACCAGAAAAGATTATTCAAATTATGTAAACTCTACATGGGAGTTAGAAGGTCTTCATTTAGAAGTGCTATATTGTCTCATGATAAAAGCTGAGTTCCTTCGGAAGTCACGAGGCTGACGCCTCTTCTGACAACCAGCGAAACCATTAATTTAGGTACATGGAATGCTCGTACAATGTGTGAGACCGGGAGAGTCATCAAAATTGCCGCAGAAATAAAAAGATACAACCTGGAGGTGCTGGGAATCAGTGAAACACTGGACAACAAGAACTATCTTCAACGGATCTGCTTTTATACACCATCCATAAAGAATAAAATGCCCCACATACACAAGAAGTTGCACTGGTGCTATCCAAACAAGCACCAATAGGAACAAAATTATTTATCTAACTTCTCAAAACCTTAATATGACAAAAATAAATTGTTTCTTAGTTATTATTATGGTTTAATTATATCTTTGTACCATCATCCCGTCACATATTCATAGATGACTGTTAATTTAAGGTGTATGTTCCAATTATGTTAATATTTCAAGCTGTTTAAACTTATTAATTTGTATGTATATTTGAAGAGAACAACCAAATACAATGAATTCAATGTATTTAGGAATCATTATTCATTTTATTTTATTTATATTACTGACGAAAATCAATTGTATAAAGTTTTGATCAAAATGTCAGCTAAATGATATATATATATATATATATATATATATATATATATATATATTGTCATACTCTAAAGAAGTGGCTTTCATTGAGTCACGAAATGACAGGAAGACAAATTCCTACTCATTGATATATATATATATATATATATATATATATATATATATATATATATATCACTAACTCTCTACACAAGGCTCAATTTATTTGAAATTATTAAGTCCAACCTTAGCAGTGATACCTAGAAAATCAGTTAAGTATTTGCCCCCTGAATAAATTTCTGCTTGTAAAGTAATTGAAGAAGAATTTCAAACATTTAAACTTGAAAACTTGTTAAAAATATTTTCTTTTACCATTACTGAAATTTAAACCCCTGACACTGAATTACGAAGGAAATTTTCTGTTTAAATAAATGTATGAAATAGAAAACAAACATAAACGATTTTTTTTACTCTGGAGATAGTTCTACCTTAGTTTATTAAAGAAATAACTTGTTATTTACTGATTAGAGATAGTTTTATAGTTGTTGAGTGCTAAATACATTTCAACGTTTCTTCCGTGTAATGTATAAGGTAGTGGTAAAATTAAAGAATGAATAAGGATTTTGTGATTTAAATCTTGAACATGACAAAATTATTTTGTATGTATGTTTACAGCTAGACACATTTAATGTTTACACAGGTGACGCAACTACTTGGCGATTCTAATGAAGCAAAACTAGATATTCAAGATATTCCATGTATACACTGTTGGAATTATCTGATGGCTTTATTGATATTATTCTTTGGATTACTGGTAAGTCATTGTATGCATATAATTATAGTCGTTTCGTTGATAGTTTATTATTACATATTAAACCTAGTAAATTCGAAAGGTTACACTTTAACTTTTATCACTGATTGAAGATGAAAAATATTGATAACATTTATACGGATATTACAACGATGAGAAAGATGTGTTTGTTTTACACATGTGGTATACAAAGGAATTCGAACGAACTAATGATTAGATGATCAATACAATTAAGTAAGAAATACATATATCTTTGTTAACAGTGTTAAGATTAGTTACAAACTTCACAAAGAAAATATTTCTTCAGTACAGAATATTTCTGTTTCAATGAAGTTGTTATGAATGTAATTTTCTTTCTTTAAAATTTGTTTTGAATAAGTTAATCATTACAAATTAAGAAATAAATCTTTTTTTTTCTAAGTTTGAAGGAATTGGTAGTTTCAAATGTTTATTAGATTTCATCGACAGATTTATGGTAATTCTATATGACCTATTGTAGATCATTTTTCAATTGAATATGCTTTGAATTTCACTTTCATTCTTTTATTTCTAATTTATGAAATTTAATATGTTTTGTTACATGAATGACATTTATGTGCATAGAAATAATGTAGCGTTCTATGGTAGGTCATGTTTAACGTTATATATATATATATATATATAATACACTTTGAAAAACGTTTTTTAAAGGTATGGAAAACTATTAAAAACAATACTATTGAAAATCATATATATAAATAGAGATTATGATGAATAATAAATTATAATACATAACCGACGATGGAATGTTAAATTAAATCCACATGCATAAATGTTATTTCTGTTCAGTAACGGAAAATGTCAAATCTAGCAAATCAGAGATCTGAAGTATGAGATTAAATGAACACTGCATATATATATAATGGCCCGGGATCTGTCTTATATGAATGGTTGCTGTCGAAATATATAAATATCGTCAATCGTCGTATAGTATTATCGACTTAACCCGAGTTAGTGAATAACGTAATTAAATAAGTCAAGTATGAGAATCGAGTTTAGAATACGTATATATTGTACAATCATTGATCTGGACAGACGGTCAGACAATCGCAGCGAATGAGGCGAAGAGGAAAGAGCTAGACAAAATAAAAGGACGCTCTGTGGAGAAGGAGTGTGAGCCAACTCCATTTAACCAAGCGTTAATCAATATTTATAGTAACACAAAAATAAGCTGCAGAGATGTGATGAGTAGGATAAGAAATGTACACACATACGATTATATAAGAATAGTCAAGGTTGATAAGTGAATAATTATGAAGGTCGAAACGTGAGTCAAGAAGAATGGATAAATTGCCCTGTCCAGAAGCTCGAATAAGGTATATGGGCTTAACATAGTAACCAACACTGCATATATAAATATATATATATATATATATGAAGATCTGTCCCTACGCTCGTATTCTGTACATTTCAAACACAAGAAAAGTGTTATCATGATGTCCATTTATTTTTAACTCCAGTAAATGAATTTCAAAAAGTCAATTAAACGGCATAATTTATATTTTGATCACGTGGTTTTATGGATTTTATCACGTACACAAATGAGTGTTTCCATGCTTTTTAGTTTACCAACGTAGTGTAAATTATTCATATAATATATAATAAAATGTAGTGAAGCGAGAATCTAAGTGTCAATATTTTAAGATGAATATTAAATCTTCACTAGTAATTCCAAAATTCGTGTATTTCAGTCCTTGATAAATTACAGTGAAGTTGCGTAAAACTGCTTTTTGAATGCTAGTAAAACTCACTTATTCGTGGAATAAGATGTGACACTGAACACAATATTAAAACGTACAAATGGTTGTTAGACAATATTTCTATGAAACGTTGTATACAGAAAAATATCTTCAAGAATTGTAGAAAAGTATTAAACATTTAACAGTGTAGTTGATGTTTGAAATTTAAAAGGGTGATTTCGATAAGAACATGTTTATTAAAGGTAACATGAAATCATGTACTGTCAAAAATGTAGTGGACAACCTCAAACTTACAAAATGTTCAAACCATTGTTAATTTGAGATTGGCAGAATATCATCTGGATACATAGCTAAAAATGTGATCCACATTTTCCAGCTTTATTCAGTCCTCTATACAGCGAAACTTTTATTCAAACTCTCGTAAATGAATTAACCCAATTGAAGTCAGGCTTTAAAAAGTATGTTTAGCCATTACTTGTTATTTTTAAACATGTATAACATAAAACATTTCCACACACTAAATGAGTTTCTATGGGAGAAATATTGTTTATGACCATAAATGGCATCACGAATGATGTCGGTGAGATACTTGTAAATCACTAGGAGCAATCAATTTATAAAATGTTTCATATAACAAAAAATTTACCATATTTCCCATTAATAACTATTTGATGATAGATAGGTCACTATGTGCTCCTGTGAAGCTAAGGATATTGTCATTCATCAAGACCTATCATCTGTCACATTTGAATATATCTACCATCTTGATTCAGTATCGGACAAGTTAAATTTTTTTACATTCTCTATTTTAAGGTATATAACAAATTTAAATTTATCGTTTATTATTATCTATGAAATTTAAGATGACAATGCTAAAGGTTTATGCCTAGTTTACTCTTACTTTCAGTATCGAAGTCATTTGAAATTGTGCTTACAGAAGCTAGTTATAAGATGCTTATTGTTTCCATAAACTTTATTTCATAATACTTTTTTTTTCGTAAGATCTACACGAGTAATTGTCAATAGTAAGTATTATTATTATCAATGTTTGACATGATAATTTCGAATAAATTGATCACTGAGTATATTTTTCAGACACGAAATATTCATATTTATTTTAAACTTCGGGCGCTTTTTAAAAAGAAAATATTAATTCTATTATTTTATAAGGAATCTCTTCAATCTCATAATTATTGACCACCATACATATTATATACATTTTATCGTAAACTTTTGACTAACTATACTCTTAATCTTTTAGTTTACCCTGGTGATTAGGTGTTTTTAACTCTTTACAAATTTCATACACATAGTTCCCTTTATCATTTTGAAAAGAGCAAGAACGAACAGCCTAGCAGAACAGCATGAATTCATTTTACTTCGTTGGTTCTCGCCAGCTGCTTACAACCTGTGATATTGAAACATCATAATTACATAATGCGTTTAAATTACTTACATGAGAGGGCTTAGTTGGAAATTATATATTGAAGACATATTAGTATAGTATAGCAAGGGTATAAATAAATTTAATAGACTGAATATTGTAAATATATACCTTATGTGAAAGAACATTCTACAACATTGATTGTGACAAAAGTTCAAACGGCTAGAAACAAGTGATTATATAATGAGTAAATATTGATAGGAATAAAATGAGTAGAGTTCAGTTGATAAAATAAGATTATTAATTTGGAAGATAGTTGGAATGAAACTCAATGATGTGATAGATGCAAGAAAGAGTTTAAAGAAAAAGAAAAAAATATATTAAGATATAGCGAAGGAATATTAGTCACTAAGGCAAGGAAAGATTAATAAACATCTCCTTTTGAACACATAAATCAGGTTTTTGGCGTTTGATAGCAACGGCTTCTGCAAACTTCAGAAGACTGGAGTTTGACTGTTTACTAATTGGTTAATAACTATTCATTTCACTAACATAATTAGTTCATTAATTTCCTAGTCATAATTGACTATAATACTGAATAAGCATGCAAAATCTATATAGGCCTACTCAACTTGAAAATAAACTCAGTTTAAAGAGTTACATGATTTAACTGAATGCTATCTCGGTTTAACCTGAAATAAAAAAGAATGAGATGAGTCGTGTATATACTCTTAAAATCATATCTTAGTGAGTAAACTATTGAGCTCATTATAAGCTAAACTGTTATATTTCATTTTTTAAAAGTCTAAATAATATGATAAAACATTCGCTTGAGAAATATAACAGAAGTTGGATCTGTTGAATCGACTTTGGCTAGACAACCATTAAAAATACAGAAATCAATGAACAGATATTTCGTCCTAGCTTTTGATTCTAGATGAGGACTCATACCTGATAGCTTCCTGATTTTTAAGGGTTGCTTAGTTGGAATCTGTATGTATTCAATATAAACTACATAAATCTTCTCAGCGAATATTATGGGTCAATAATTGAAAAGTAATTTTATTCAGTCTATTTCGTAATCTCTAATAAAAGCATTATTTTAACTTTAAAAATATTTAAATAGGTAAGTTCATTTGTTCGTAAATAAAACGAGAATGTCCCATGTAAACAGCTTTCATCTACTAATAAATCGATCCCCATGCTAAATGTATTTATGGAAGTCCAAAATTAAAAGTGATCATTTATACAAGTATGCATATAATGTATTATACAGACGTAGGAACTATACAGGAAATAGAAAAAAGCATTCCTTTACGTATTACCGACAGCTCATTTATATCTAGGGAATTTAAATATTTTTCCCTACACACTTCATAGACAAAAAAAATAAAGGAAGCATCATGTGAATTGAGTCGCCTGTCAAAAATATCTCTAGCAATTCAATACTAAATACAGTTCAATGAATCACTATATAAGTTAAAGGTAACTATGAAACAAAATGAGAATATGATAAATGAACAGGTTCAACGCTATTTCTTTTAAAAGACAAACGAAGATAACTAATTGTGAGACAGGTGATACAAAACAAAGTTGTTTCATATACAAAAATAATGATTTAAATCTAATGCGAGCTACTGTCACAGAAGGATTGATGCATTGATCTTTCGGTTACTAATTAATACAATATACTAGGTAAACAACAGGGCTTTGAGTATAATATCAGATTTTTACTTGAATAACAAATACGAAATTGCAACCGATTTATCAGGAACGATATCTAATAGAGTTTTATCAGATAGAAGTTTGGCTATTTTTAAAATTCTAAATAACTTTGTTTAGACAACAGTTCGACAAAATACTAGATGAAATATTTGATTGTAAAAAGTAAATAACAACAGAAGATCCAATCCAAAAATTTGTTATTCAAATATATAAATAACACTGGTTGAAATCATGAGTCTATTGAAGCTAGACCACCATGAAAAACCTGGAAGCACTGGACGGCCGTTTCGTCCTAGTATGGGACTCCTCAGTGGTCTAACTTCAATTGACTCATGATTTCAACCAGTGAAATTTCTAAAAATCTCCGCAAAACCCATTCTGATAATATAAATAACGCTTAAAACAGGAACACATTTCCTGAATTCAACCTATGCATTTATGAATGCATCTGGTATAATAAAGCTATTTTTTAATAACTTATGGTAGAGAACAATTATTTCATAAACATGACTTCACACTTACATATATTGGATTAGTGCATATAAACGTACAATACTGTTTTCCATTAGAATTACATCAAGCTTGACTCTGATAAACAAAATAATTTATATAAGTATATGGAAAATATTAGACTAATCAAGACAATTTATGAGTAAATCACAACAATAAAATAGATCGCGTAACTATTCATAATACGTAAAAGTACCGTTTAATAGTATGATGATAAGTAAAGTCGTAGTGATAAAAATAATAACAGTCTAAAAATATTTACATAAATTTTCTTCTATACTTGAACGAATAGTTCCACAGTAGTTGTGCACCAAGTCAATGTAAGATATTAAGAATGAAAAACTATATTTGTAAAATATCATATCGTAAATCCAACATCGTAAAGGAATTTTGAAAATGGTCAGAAGAGCCTTAAATGATCAAAATATAAGAGAGTTCTTTCAAGTAAACGTTATTTTAATCTCTAAACTAGTAAAAATCAAAGATTCAGTACGAAAAGTGGGACAATGAAACTGCGTATATGAGATGAAATGTAGTAATTGTAATGCTGTATTATATGAAGGTGAGGCATTACGACAGTTTAATATGGGGTTAAACGAATACAAACTTTGTTTGAAGTATATTCCTAAATCGTCGTATGACATGGAGAAAAAAACAAAAAAAACGAGCCGAAGATTGCATTACACTCAATAGAGTCTGGTCATACAATCGATTTAAAAACCATGAGAATCTTTTAAAAAGGTTTTAGTTCTTACAGAGAAAGACTAACAGCTGAAGACCTACAGATATGTGCAAATCAAAGCGGTATTAATAGGAGAAGTGGCATAAAACTAGCAGTCTTATGTCAACTAATGTTTAATAAGTAAACCTGAACTCCTTATCCGCTTGATGTATCAGTTATTATCTGAAAAACAACAATTACTTTCATCTGTTCTAATCAGTCGATTAATCTGAATATATGATGAACAGTTAACCCGATCAACACAATAACACAAACATTTATTTTAAGTTAATAACGCAATGGCGTTTGAAGTGAATAGTACTGGGTTTAAGTCCTAGAATGGATATTATATCTGGGATGCAGGTACATCCAACTAACGAGTTTCAAATAGAACGAAACGCGCGTCCAGGATTCTATTGCTAGCCTTCATTCATCTCTACTTATAATGTTTGTGACTGAAGGAAATATTGAGGCAATCATATGTGTATAATGCACATATGTCAAATAAGAGACTGATCGATTTCAGTCCTAAACTTCAATGGGAGGATTCACGCAACCAGTACAAAAATGAATTCATTTTTGTGTTTATTTATTTATTTATTTATTCACGATTGATATACTTAACTCATATCATCTATAAAATTGTCTGTGTTCATCGAAAAACTCACCGATCACAAGTGTAATAGTCAATGAAGTTTTTTCTCTCACCTTAGATCTATTTACACATACATACAACTGTTAATTTAACATATTTCTTTTCATCAAATGTCTGATACTCACCATAGCAAATTCTTATCATCAACATTGTTAATATGATTGGATGATATGTTTGGTGTACGATTACTCGGAGAATCATGTACGCATTTATGTTCGATAATTCTTATAGTTGATCATACTTCCCTGAAAAAGAATTGACCAGATTGCCAAACGAAACGTGGGATTTACTTAAAATTTTAATCAATCTTTAACATTGGAAGCAGGCCAATAGTTGGAAAAAAATCAACATTAAAATAACAATTATTAAACATTATCAAAACTACATGGCAAAAAATGTTAGTTCGATAGTGAGGAAAAATAAACGAACAATTATGTGGAAAATAATTACGATAATAACAATAATAGGGAAAAAAGCGTTTGTTAAACTTTATCTTTTATAGCTGGTACTATATCAAACCCACATAGTTTATTCTAGCCTCTGGACAGACCAATCTATTCATTCTTCTCAAACCACACATTCACGTTGTCACGTATTCGCTTGTTAATCCATACTGTTTTTTTATGTGATCGTATATGTTCTAATTACTTATCCTACTCATTATGTGTCTGTTATTTATTTTGGTTTGATTATAAATATCAATTTAGGCTTGACTAGATGGAGTTGGCTTATTCGCCTTCTCCACCATGCGTTATTTCGTTATGCTTCGCTTCACGATCAAAAATTATACGAAATATACGTATCCAAAAATCCAATCTCGCATTCGACTCATTTAATTCCACTGTTCGCTAACATGATTTAAGTCGATGATTATATACGAGTTTAGCCCGGATGTATATTTCGACAGCAATCAGTCGATAACGATCATTCGTCAAATTTAACTCGAGTCAGCTATAAGGCCAGTAAAATCTGGTTAACGATAAATCACAGCCTGATCTAATGGATTTAGCTTAGTATACTTATGTTAATGATAAGGGAAACTCACGAACTGTGGAATTAACCAAGTAGTAAGTAAAGTAGTAATTCATTTATTGTATGACACGAAAAATTAAACATATGAGAAATCAACTGAACTTATATCTGTTAACAACTGAACAAGTCAGTCAATAATTGATATCGTACTATTCTCAAGACGTAAAGTTTTCTTTAGAAAACATGATTTGACTATTTCAGATACTCTCGAACTAGTATGAAATAATCTTCTTCAACATTTTATTATTTATGTTATGAACATTTTTAAACAGGTTAGTTTATGAAATGACAAGGAACTTACATCTGTTGAAATATGATGTTATATAGTTGTACACTAAATTCTAATAATCTAATTCATCATCTTATAAAACTTTTCTCAAATTTCTCAGCTAATAGGATTTCCGACACCACATAGTAACTGGTTTCTTCAAAGATTATTTCCAATCTCAGATAACTATGATAGTACAATATCAACTGAATCTTGCAGTATTCCAAGAGACTTTAATATTCAATCCATTTACAAGCATCTTGGATGTTTACATTTAGGTAAGTTATATAACAACTAGCTGATTTTCTCATTATTGTAGTGTGGCAGTTAATGTTGCTTATTAAACATTAACTGATGACTTATTTTAATCATGACTACATTGAAAATTCTCTGTACGAATTAGTCAAAAAATTGTTTGAATGTTTAGAAAATTTAGTTATAATCATAGTACAATTGCTTTTTGACTATGTCCTTCTTAATGGCATTAGTACACCTTATTACTCAACAGTCATTTTATCTTTGGTTGTCTATTCTAACCTCTTTCATCTTTCGTAATTATTTTTGATATCCAACTTTCTGAACCATTTACTAATTTTAGTATTTATTTTAAACGGTGGGGAAGATTTGTAGCTCATGTTCATCCATGGATCAAACCATCCAGCTCAGAGAACAAAACTCCATCAAAATTAATATTTTTTGAACAGTGTATAATAGTGAACTCCAGGACGCAAGTCTCACTTAACTTAGAACTTATTAGATAGAATCAACTGGATCTCACTCTTGACTTTCCTAATGTAACATAAACTAAGTACTTTCCACTTCGGTTCCTAACATATTATTCACTAAATTAGTGAACCCAACTACTCATTAGTTTATTCAGCGTATGTTACAATTTGTAAGGGTTTGTAATTTCCTTTTTTTGTTACCCATTATTGCATTTGATCATTCTTGGTCGATAAACGTTATTAGTTATCCTATGGTTTTTCAATTTATAACTATTCATTTTTAAATTCATCTAATGAATATTACATTTGAATGTTTCTGTAAACTTTTCATTACTTTGTGAGTCATTCATTACTGTTTCCATCAAGACATGTAACTTTTTATTATTGTTACATAGAATTCAAATTGAATGGAACTGCTTATATTATTCATTGCAATACAGATATTAATTGAAAGAAAATGTTTCCACACTCTGTTCATCTTTTTCTTAAACTTTATGTGTACATTTTGACTTGACGTAAAATAAACATATCCCATTACTTTTAGAGATTGTTTTGTATTGATACCTAATCAAATTCAATCGGACATAGACTGAATCTTGGACTTAAAAAATGGGCTTATTGAGAAAATGTAAAACTCACTGGATGTTTGAGTTAATCTAACTAGATACAAATGTCTTAGCATCCAATAACCTTTTTCTAAGGTTCTGAAATGTTGTTAAACATAGAATATATTATGATCGATTCGTCGACGATTTTACAAAAACCAATTTTTTGAAACTAGTCAATCCTTTCATACAAATAAGTCGACTTTATCTTTTCAATAGCAAGTTTTCTTTCTTCTTTAACTCACATTTTCATGTCTTATTCTTTTCCATTTTTAGTTATTGCTTCAGGTATGCTTTATTCTCTTTTGATGATAAAAATGAATGGAATCTATGTATCACAATTATTATCGTCTGCTTATTCAGCGACTTTTGTGACAGGTAAATCAAACAAGTTTAATTTTAATATTTTTTAAGTAGACAGAATATACCCATCGAGACACTAGATACGAAAGATTGGTTTAGTGAAGAGTTCTCTATTCAACAAACTCGCAAATCTGTATTTATTTTTCAAGATGATATTAATTAAAATAATAGTGATAATAGAATTCTACTAAATATGGTAATAGTGAAGTAGAATGAACATAGGTATTAAAATGTTATTTTTTTATCAGGGAAACTAATAATAGTTTTGTTGTTAAGAGCTTGAATACTCATCATGAAGATAGATAAAGAAGTTATAATTGGGAAAGGATGGCTCAACACGATAAGATAAAATGCTGAAATTGAAATGAAGTGTAATCAAGAAGATCATGGAAACAGAAATAAACCAGTTCGAGGTAAAAGGTCCATAGAGAATATAGAAAAGGAAGCAGATGATTGTGAGGGAATAAGAATGAAAATTATGAGAGATTAAGATCAAGTTCGAAGGAAAGATTGTACCGATTTCTTTTTGGACACATGATTTTGGTTCTTGAATTCTTTTGGATAAAGTACCCATCAAATGGCCTGTATACTTGTCTCCACATGAATGGGTAGATTGGTAAATGCATATACAGTTGGTCAAATGAGATAATTTGTCCTTAAGATCACTGATCAGCTGGAAAACATTAACACAAAGTCGCTGAGAAGAACATTCTTTTTAGAGAACCGGAAGTTCTTCTCTTTAGGACGCTTGTAACTCTGAAATCGATGTTCACATAAAGTGTCTTCTTTTCAACTGAGGTTAATTGTCCTTGAGGCAGTTTGGGTTTTAAATTCTTGTTGGTAAATATCGAAGAATATCCGTCTTCGATTAATATTGCCTCAAGGATGCTCAGTTCGTTGTCTATGACCTCGATACTATAAATTCTTCGTATTCGCGTATCGAGTGACGTGATTGAGTTCCTCTTTCGACCATTGGGGGCTCAGCTGTGGAAGCTTGATAGGTGACCACTTTTTCTTATTTAATGTTTTTATCGTCTTTTGTAAATGGTATTCAGCATAGAATAAAGCCATTTATGTTACTATTCAGAACTAGCAAGCAATACATGTCTACTTTTTCCCAATTACAGATTCCTCAGTTATGCACACCGAAGGCTAACCATATATTTAACCTAGAAAAATGCATGTTTTGTGTCTCCAGATTAATAGTTTGTTTTCTTAACTCGAATCAATTTACGATAACGCTCGATGATCAGCTGATGCCATCGATAGTGACTACCTTGATCCTAACATGGTTGAACTCCATCAGTCATAAATCCCAAATAGAGTGTTAAAATTTTTCTTGAACCTCGTCTCTACTGAGCCGTCAATCATAAAACCAATATCGTTTTTATGGAAATTGTTTTGATTTATAGATAGTTTTTGTTTGTGATCGATATCAACTCAGTCAACATTATCTTGCTGCTTTTCAAGTAAACAATAATTTCTGACATTGTATTTGCTTCTCAGACGAAGCATATTTAAAATGTATTTTCTGTGTTTTTTATCATATAAAAAACTACTAAGAAACACTTGGCATTTTTATAAATTACTCTAATGGATTTTCGTTTTCTGAGCTAGACAGCTTAGTCATAAAGCTTTCACTGTCCTTCTGAACAATATCATCAGCAAAAACTGACAACCTGTCCTGACTAACTTGATCTAGAATAGTTATTCTTGAACTTCTGATTTCGCGAATAAATCATTCTGCTAAGAGAACGAAACAAACAAAACCAACCGCCTGAGCTAAAAATATCAACCATTTCAATTTACATTATACACCATGGTTTAGATCGGTGTGTATTTTGATTATGAAAATTCTGCCATAAAACATAAGGGAAAGACAGTCATATATGGTCATACCAATGATAGAAATAGTAATAGATTATCAATCTCTATAAATAAATAAGATGAAACTAACTCGGTAGATGAAAATCAGTAGATTGGTAAAATAATTCAGTTATTTAATACTGTCAGTTTAGGGGTTGTGGAGATTGTTTAGTTTTTGATTGAGATCATAAGCCATGACCAGTGGAGCTAATCCGTGTCGGCTAGAAACAGGTGTCTACCTCAGTACAATGGAAGATGGTCTCGCAACTTCGTGGATTGGTTGAGGTTAAACACTAACACCACTGGATGCCGGCTCAGTGGCCCAGTAGGTTATGCGTTCGCGTGCGATACTGGAGACTCCCTGGTTTCGAATTACGCGAGCGAGATCGTGGATGTGCATTGCTAAGGAGTCCCACGATAGGACGAACGGCCATCCAGTGCTTCCGGGTTTCCAATGGTGGTCTAACATCAATCAGTTCATGATCTCGATCAAAAAATATTTTTACTGCCTTGTATTGAACTTTAGTTTTAACTTTACCGACTAAATTTTTCTAATATTTTATTTATTATCTTGTTTTTTTTCTTTTGAAAACAGCTTGCTTTATACTGATAAAAACCCTGAAAAAAAACTTACATTCATTTTATTCTAAGAATTTTTCTATGTTTGCTCTAATGCTAACAACGAATGATTTTAGTCTACTAATCTTCTCTTAAACTCACTATAACTCCCTTATATGATTTACGATCAGTTAAATAAATAATCAATTAATCTAAAATTAATAATTGACATTTCTTAGTTTTTTCGTGACTTGCAACACAATTGACAATTTATCTAAACAAAAAAGAAACTTACTTGTTTCATTTTATACGCTACAAATTTTTGAAAAAAAAATTCTGAAATAAGAATGAGCATTTTTCTCTGTTGAATGAAATAAAAACAAACAAACTAGAAACTTTTTGTATTTAATTGATCTAGTTTTATATTTTATGATCAGAGAGAGAGAGAGAGAGTAAACGTTAAACTAACAATTGACTCGTGATCTCAACTATTGAGATTACTATAATATCCATGAAGACCCCTGTTGATACTAATCAACAAATGATCACTAGTGACTGGCTTCAAGAGGTATATCCTGGAGTTCTAATGAGAAGCAGTGACCAGTGGTGTTCAACCGGGTCTGTTGTGAGATAGTCAATCACTGAAGGCAATGGTGGATGTGTCGCTCAATTTCGTGGATTAGTTGAAGTTCTACATTAACACAGTTGGATGCCGTCTCAGTGGTCTAGATGTTAAGCGTTTGCGAGCGAGACCGACTGGTCCTGGGTTCGAATCTCGCAGAGGGTGAGGTCGTGGATGCGCAATGCTGAGAAGTTGTACAATAGGACGAAACGACCGTCCAGTGCTTTCAGGTTTTCCATGGTGGTCTAGCTTCAATTAACTCATGACCTCAATTATTGAAATAACAAACAAATATTGAATAGGTTTTTGATTAAGTATAGACAATTTAATATTTTTAAAATGCTACTCTTGTATATAAAGAAATTGTTTACAAATATTATATAAAACGTAATTATTTGGGCTAATTTGAAACTGTTAACAAGAAATCTTTTACCAATCAACAGTGCCAAAGTAATAAATGAAAACTAAAACTATCAAAATGAGCAATTCTCTTATCATCAACTGTGAAATCATTAAGAAACAGGAAGCACTTAACTGTTGTTCTGTACTAGTTTGTAGCTTCTCAACAATAAATGTTCACAAACACAAGTATAATTGTACTCAATGATTATCTTTTCCATGATAAAACTAACTTTAAATTGAACAGTTTGAACAAAGCCTTATTAAGACGCCAAAGAAATGAAGATGATACTATCATTCTCTATTCTTATTTCATTATGTTGCTTTATAATCTAGGTATTTGCAATCAGCGCAACAATATACGAATGAGTTCTGTTTAGATGACCTACATAAACTACAATTACTCATACAGTTTACTTACTGGTACTCCTTCATTGAAAGCGTTACGTCGTTAACTGTAATTAACAAATTGATACCACTGAACCAGCATCCAACAGTGTTAATGTCTAACTTTAACCAATCCGCGATATTAAGAGATTACCTTCGAACCTAGTCGCTAGTGAGCACATGATAATTTTCAGTTTAAGGTGAGGTCGAAGCACGTTGGGTGAGAGACGATTACCCATCAAAGACAATGGAGAATATTTTCTCAATATCGTGGATTGGTTAAAGTTAGACATTAACACCATCAGCTCAATGGCATAGAGACCAAGTGTTCGCGCGAGACCGATGGTCATTTGTTCGATCCTAGTGTGTGGGATCATGAATATGCACTAATGAGGAGTCCCACACTAGGACGTCTAGTGCTTCCAGGTTTTCGATGGTGATCTGACATTGATCGGTCCATGATTTCAATGAAATTCAACAACCTACATAACCCCAAAACCGGAAGTTAGAATATTGGTTTAGCAATCAAACTCACAGTTTCCAATCCTCGGACTTCAGATTCGAATACTGGTTAATTTTCATGTTGTACACTCTCTAAACAGTATGTCAGTTTCGTGTGTCCGTTTATTTATTTATCTATTGACTACCTTGATCTGTAAATAGTACTTATTTAATAACTTACTCATTTGGAACCTACTTATTTGTTCATATAATCTGTCACTGGTCAGATCATTTAATCCTTAGGCTTAGAAATAAAGCATTGCAAATAATTTCGTTTTTTTAATTACCTTGTTTTTATACCATAACTGAATTACCGAAAGTTGAGTCGATTGGTATAACCATTCAACTTATCAGATTATACTCAGTATCATTAATCTTTAAGAAAAATCTATTAACCAATAAGTCATACTTGAATGACTAATATGTACGTGTTGAATATTAACTATGCAACAGGGATTTACATTTGCTATTTGTATACAGCCCTAATTATAAAATCACATTCAACTTATTTTCAATATTTTAGATATCTTAGTTTGATACTACTTTTTGATTTTATTTTTATTTTCAACTCATTCTTCGGTCTTTTTTTCTCTCAAATAGTTCATCTTTTAACAAAACAATTGAATTGGATAGTTTACATATACACCTTTCTAACAATGATTACTATTATATTCCATGTAAAACTTTCAAAGATACAAGTCAAAGGATGGATGTTAACAGTGAAACAATATTTTCTTAATAAATTATCAATTACAAATACATATTATTCATCAAATGAAGCAACTAAAATAAATTGAAGATTGAACAATTATGGTATTTGTTTAAATAAACTTTCTAATCAATAAAAAAACAAGCAACAAAATAAACAATAGTCAATTAAATAATGACAATTTCTATTTACATAAATGGGTTATTTATTATAAATAATATGATTATATTGATAAGAAGGTAAATTATATACTTTTCTTAAACCATTTGATCGCAGAGGTATAGAGAGAGCGGAGAAAAATGAAGTGGAAAAACATTAATATTTAATAAACATTTCATTTTTCATTCATATTGAAAACTATTGATCATTCATTAATCATGAACTCATTCCTAAAGCTTTTATTCAATAAAGCGATCATTTAAAGAACTGTATCATAGTATGCCATTTTCTTTCACTTTTTTTCTCATAAATGAACAAAAGAATTTTGCCTTATCACCTTAAGCTAAAATGGAACCGATTGAAATGACATTTAAACAAAAATAGATTGAACACTTGTCTCCCAAAAAAATTTTTTTCGATAAATATTTCAATTTCAATGTTATTAGAAAATATCTAATGTGTTGTCGTTTGATATTTTGGTTAGTTTCACTTTCAACATTCATCTAATTTGTACGTAATTAACAAATATTTTCCATACCATAGTGGTTAGTAACTTCTCTATTTGAACGAAAGATTTGTAACTAAAGTGATGTTGTCTTTTACAATTATGTCATTAAGTGTTTGAAAATTATCTTGCATTTACTTAAAGATACCTTTAATTGTTTTCAACCTTCAAAAATTACAGATAGAACGATATCATAAAAAGGTTATTTTTTGACTGAATCGATAGGAAGTTTTTTTTATAAAGGTTTAAGTCTGACAGTAAAATCTAAACTCAGTGGGAATCATTTGTCAGGTCAGAATGAAATGTGTTTAGATAGAGAGTTACTTTAAAAAATTGTCGGTACCAAGATACTGAGTCAAGAGCTTAATATTTTCAAGCACTTGGGATATAACATTTCTTATATTTACTAGGAATAAGACTAAATAAAAGTGTCCATCATATTAAGACAATGATATGTGAGGGAAGAATAGTCTTTCTGATAAATTCTCATCAGGTTCTACAATTATACAACTATAATAATGTTTTAAAAGAATAGTTGAGTTTAAAGTAAATAAATCATACACATAGTTCCCTTTATCATTTTGAAAAGAGCAAGAACAAAGATTCTAGCAGAATAGCATGAATTCATTTTATTTCGTAGGTTCTCGTCAGCTGATTACAACCTGTGATATTAAAAAAATCATAATCACATAATGGGTTTAAATTGCTAACTGAATATTGTAAATATATACTTAATGTGAAAGAATGTTCTACAACATTAATTGTGACAACAGTTCAAAATTGGGTTAGAAACAATCGATTACATAATGAATAACATTGAAGGAATGTAGTGAGTAGAGTTCAGTTGAAAGATTATTAATTTGAAAGGTAGTTGAAAAAATAAAATAGAGTCAATGATGTAATAAATGCAAAAGAAAAAAAGAAAAAAGAATTTTATGGTGCAGTGAAGGAATATTTATCACCAAGGCAAGGAAAGATTATTCACCGTCTCCTTTTGAATACATAGGTCAGGTTTTTGACGCCTGATGGCAATGGCTTCAGCAAACTTCAGAAAACTGGATTTTGGCTGCTTACTAATCACCCTAAAGAATTGTGAGGTATCTACCTGATGTCCTGTATCAAGGAGATGTTTGGTGATTGCACTGTTCAGAGTCTTTCTTTTCCTTGTTCTAAGACTTTTTGGAACATGTTCAAAAAATCTAAGATATGCTCTCCTTTCAGTTCGGCCGATGTAGCTGCTTTGGGAGGTACACGTAAATTTATAAATACAGTTGGCGGCAACCTGAAAGGGTTGCTTGTCGATTTCTGATTGGGTTATTGAGCATGTTGTTTTATAGAGAATTAAAAGTTTAGCAGCCGGATAACTTCTGGCTAGCGCTGTATTCAGTCTCTTGTTGGTAATTTGTGCGATGTCATCACCTTTAAAGTTGAGATTTATAATATACTGGCTTTTTATTCACCATAGTTATTACCGTCTTCTTTTCCTTGGGCCTTTTATATTTGTCAATAAACTTTTGTGGATAAGAGTTTTCTTTTAGACATTTTTCTACGTTCATTAATTCTGCTTCCAGTTTGTCGGTGGT